AACAACAACGAAGTCATACACCCGGAGGTGCGTAGGACGCCGAATTCACATGCACGCGAGCCCTCCAAATGCGGCATCGTTCGAGGTCAGACAGAGGCTCTATGTTCTCCACAATGGAACACTGATTGGGCGGAGGGGGGGAGGGGGGAGAGAGGAGGGAGGGGGGGAAGGAAGGGGACGAGGTGGGCAGAGGAGGGGGGGAGAGAGGAGGGAGGGAGGGGGGGAAGGAAGGGGACGAGGGGCAGAAAGGAGGGAGGGGGAAGAGGAGGCAGGGGCGGAAGGTGCAGGCCGAGGGAATCTGGGCACTTCTGCGCCGCCCTTCCGCTCCGCTCCTCGGGGTCACCGCCTTCCAGTCGTCCTTCGCGACCTCGCACAGCTGCCTCTGGGCAGCGCCGAGGGGGGGGGCCTCGCCACCAAAGGGCTCGCCAAAGTCTCCCTGGCAAAGGGCCAGCCTGGAGCTCCAGAGCCTGCCGGGACTCCCGCGCACGCCCCAGAAGAAATGTTCCCAAACCTCCTCGATCCTCCCACCACCTCCTCCTCCTCCTCCTCCTCCTCCTCCTCCTCCTCCTCCTCCTCCTCCCCCTCCCCACCCTCCTCCTCCTCCTCCTCCTCCTGCTCCTCCTCCTCCTCCTCCTCCTCCTCCTCCTCCTCCTCCTCCTCCGGGCAAGGCTTTCTTTGCTAACAAGTTACGCGCATGCCCGACGGCACAGGACCACGGTTTTGTTCGGGAGGGAAGGAGGGAGGATGCCATATTCACTGCACTTGTGACGAGTCGGCGACTACGACGCATGGGCCGCACTCACTGCATGCCGCTAAAAGATCTTAGCAACGCCTTTTCGAGTTCCTTGTGGACGGAGCTGGATACGACAATATCATTGTGCGCGTCCCCTGACGATGCCGACTTGTGTAGACAGAGATACAGGAATGCGGTTATCGAGTTGGAATTGTGCGAGGGCCCGTTCTGTGTGCGTCCGAGGTGTGGAGGTGTGATGGAGGACCCTTTTACGGTGCAGGGATTCTTGGGGACCTTCGGACGGGCCACAACGTCATGGGGACACCACGTTTTTACACACGACCGATCGGCCAAGGTTATAAATATCGAGCTGGCAACAACTATCAGTAGACCTTAGCCTTCTTAAAAATGGCGGACGACCTAAACAAGTTTGTGGTGACTGATCTTGGGAGCACGGTTTCGGATTTCTTGCGCAAGCTAAACTGGGTCGACGAGACGCTTGATGACTATCTGGGGATGTACGGTTACGGTCAACATGCTGATAAACAAGAATTGCTTTTCTACTTTGCGAGTCAGTCCAGGCCTGCGAAGGCGGTTCTGAGAGAGAGATCCGCACAAGGGTCCATGCCATGTCGGGGCAAGGTGCGCGAGTGTGTACGGTATTTGGGCCATACATCAATATGATGTCGACAGGACATCACGAGATCCCTCGGAGGTGTGACGCTGCTCGGCAGGCTTTCTTTCGCTTGGGAGGGGTGTGGTCTTTAGGTCTGCCATATAAGTGGCGCAGGGAGCTCCTCCAGGGTCTTGTGAGCAATGCTCTTTTGAGCGGGCTCGAACCTTTCGTGTTGACGGAATCTGACTACAGCACGCTGGACGGCTGCATGGCGGCCCTCTGCAGGACTGCGATGCTCGGGGAGGCGTGCGCCGAAACGTCGACAGGACACAAGGTGAGCATGACAACCTCTCAGGTGCTGCGTCACTGGCGACTGTCGGGCAGTCGCGTGGACCTTGGTATTAGGAGGCTTAAATGGTGTCAATCCTGGGCTCGAACTCCGACGGCGCACGTTCAACCTCTGTGTGCACTCTTCGGGACCCTGCGGGGAGAGCACGAGTCGACTGCACCGCAGCTCGTGAGGGGGAGACCGTCGGTATCGGCTTCGCCTTGGCTTCGCCAAATGGAATCTGACCTGTGGGTTGCGGCCCCGATCATGGATGATACGGAACGGTCTTCAGAGTTCACGGCTTTGGATTTTGGGAGGTTGCGAGCAGCGCTGAATACCGTGCAGATCCCACCGCCTGCGGATGTGACAGTGGGGGCCTTCCCAGCAGGACCTTGTGCAGACGAGGCGGCTGTTACGACGGAGGGGGTTGACGACGACGGGGCTTATGTATGTGAGGTGCGGGCGGACGATGGGGAACTATGTGGGGCTCGTTTCTCTACCCAGACCTCCCTCCTCAAACACATGACCCAACAACACCACCTCCACAATCTTGCGCATGTGATGACACCGACGAATATCTGCATTGGGTGCCGACAGGTGTTTAAGACCCGCATCACGGCTGCACGTCATCTGGAGGCGGCGATCAGGCGAGGGCGATGTGACAAGGGAGCCCTGGGGGCCACACCGCGGAGCAATGAGACCCTTCGGGAGCCCCAGTCCCTGCAGTGCCCGATGTGCGGTCATGAAGCTGGGGATCTCCCCGCTCACTGTAGCCATCTCCTCAGCCATCTTCCGACGACGTTGAAGCAGGCGCCAGCGACGCACCTAACCCGAGCCTTCGGAACTGATGTCGTTGGCGATGCCGTCGTGGTCCAGCCCCCCGGGGGCAGGCAGCAGCACGGGGCCAGCAGGAGGCGAGGGAAACGTCGCCAAGAAGGGCAAGAAGGGCGAGAAGGACGAACTCATGAAGCTTCTGACGGCCATCGGGCGCTTGGTGCTGGCGCAGGCTCGAGCGGTTGCCGACTTGGCGGCAGTGGTATACGTGACCTTCATGATGCCTCTTTCGAGGGGGCTCCCCGCCGCCATGCAGGCGGCGGGCAAGAAATACGAGAACGACAGCAAGTCCATGAAGGAGTCAGGCGCCTCGCAGGAGCAGTACAAGAAACGAGGCCCTCCGCACATTCACGTGTTCCTGGCGGCGTTCCAGTACGTGGCGGAGCGCACGGCGGCGGAGGGGCAGGAGGAAGAGAAGACCAACGCGCTCGAGGCCAAGGAGGTGTGGACCAACCACATCGCCTCGAGCGGCATGGAGGACATCGCGGAGGCGGTGCTCTACTTCAGGCTGAAGGTGCTGCGCAAGGAGGAGGGCCAGGAGCAGCAGTGCCTGGTGATCACGAACTTCAACAAGGAGTCGAAGTTGGCCCTGGCTTGCCGCCCGCACATCAGGAATGTGATCCAGTACGAGGGCGGGACGGCAGTGCACGGCTCGGCACCCAGGGGCCCGCTCGAGAGGGAGATCGCGAAGATGGTGAACCACGCGAAGTAGCTCATTCCGCTCTGGCGCCTCGTGTCGGAGGCATTGACAGGCGACGGGGACAATTTTTGTTGCAGCTCTCAGAGATTGGCGGAGCTGGAAGCTCGAGGCAGCATCAGTGCAGAGACCGCGGCTATGTATGGCTCGATCTGGGGCCGTGCTGGTACGTAGCTACACTGACGAAGATCTGCCTGTCCACCCGCTGGTCTACCTTCCCGGCCACGGCCGGGGCGCGCCGAGCAGACGTGGTGGGCGCGGACGTCGTGACGGCGGGCGAGGCTCTCGCGCCTGAGTGGGCGCCTCCCGTAGGGTTGCGTGCCTTAGGGGGGGGTGCTCGCGGGCCCGTGCCCCGAAGGGGAGCGCAGGCAGGGCGTGCAGAGTCGTGTATTTTTTCCTCCGCGTTGGGATGCAAGGTCCCGTCTCAGAAGCCAAGCCTGCCTGCAATGGAGTCACGACACGAGTTCGGCGTAGTGGCACTGTAGATGCAGGATGATTGTGGATTCCTCGAGGTTCGCTCGCTCGCTCGCTCCTCCTCCTCCTCCTCCTCCTTCTCCCCCTCCTCCTGCTCCTCCTCCTCCTCCTCCTCCTCCTCCTCCTCCTCCTCGTGACCCCCCTTGATTACTGGTGACGCCCCCTGGCGCTGCCCGATGCCTCACCGTGACCTCGAACTTCGCCTTCGCGGCGGGGCCGCCCTCGCCCCTCCACGACGCGCCCTCCGCCTCGTGGCCGCCCTCCTCCTCTGGAGCAGAAGCCCGGCACACGCACGAGCGCTTTCCGAGGCCGGCGCGGATGTCTCGGCAGGGCGAGACGAAGACCTGGGCAGCACTGGACCTGGACAGAGCACCCAGACAGGATCGCGTCGTAGAAAGAACAGGACGGGAGGTGTTGGCCCAATTTCGGCCTCGGGGCCCTCGCAGGTCCTCGGGAGCGTCAAAAAACGACTCCGGACGAAAAACCGGGGGCCGGGGAAAGAGTCGGGCCTTCCAGGGGCGCCGTCCTGAACGAATCAAGACGTCGCATGTCTGGGCATGGATCTCTGAGATCCAGCGGCTGAGGAAGATGTATCGGGCGCCGCGGTCGTTCCAGAGCGATCGGGGACTCCCAAAACGCTCTAGAGCGATTTAATGTGGGGGCGCGGCTTCGTGAAACCTTTCACAAGAAACCCAGATCTGGAACCCCAGGACGTCCATTGATGTTTGGCACGCTTCCCATGATAAAACCATCGAGACCCAAGAAACCCAGGGCACCCTGGAGGCAAGCAGGGTGTTTTTTGGCATGGGTTTTCACCGTATCCCAACCTTTGGGCCCAACCGGTACTTGGGCCACCGCAGGAACCAGCGCCAGCCCCAAGATATCCGCGCGGTCTGAAATGTGTTGTTCCAATCGTTCCTTTGGGGGAGGAGGAGGGGGCGATGGGGAAGCGCAGCCAACGGCAAGTGTCTTATACGTGGGGTGGGGGGGGGCTCAGCGTAAAGCCCGAAACACGTGCTGATGCGGCAGGCGCAGATGAAACAGATCGCCGACACTGGGCTCGCCAACGAGGGGAGGGAGGGGGAAAGCGAGGAGGAGGAGGTCATGGTATGGTTGTGCCGTGCTTTTTCCCTCCTCTGACTCCCTTGGCTGGCGGCTCGTAGTTCGGCTCTCTGGTGGCCGTTGGGGACGACCTGGGCCTTCCAGCGCGCTCTCGGCGAGGCGCAGCTGCTGGGGAGCATCCCGAGGCCGGAAGACCACCGAGAACGAACGAAAAGCTTCGAAAACCTCCAGCCCCTCAGCGCGTTGTTCTGCCCTCCTCGTGGGTGCTCAGCGACGACCAGCGCGTCTGGGCCACTCGCCTGCGCTGCACGTCCCAGTCCGAGTCCGCCCGGATGCGGGCCTCCCGCACGCCGATGCGCTCCTCGCGCCCCAGGGACTCGTCGTTGAGCCACTGCACGATGATGCGGCTCTGCTTGTTCTCCAGGCAGAGGATCTCGTTCCTCGCCAGGCGCGAGCACCCCCACAGACGCATCCCCAGACACGATCGCGTCGTTCAGAAATCCGGGCGGGAAGTTTTGAGCCGTGCTCGGCCTCCGGGGGTCATTTCCGGGCCTCGGGAGCGTCGAAAACCGACTCAGGACGAAAAACCGGTCCCAGGGAAAGGGTCGGAACTTCTAGGGACCCCGTTCTGGAAAAAATCAGGACGTCGCATGTCTGGGTCTCATGACCCTCAAGGAAGCCATCTGGAGATCGCTGGGGACCTTTAAGAAGCCGGCCCACAGACCTCTCAGCGCATGCAAGTAATCCCTCCAGATGCCCAAGAGCCCTTGAGGAGCCACAGCGTTGACCCTGGACATGGATGTCTTTTCCGCCCACGGGTTCCTGCGAGGCACAAGGACTCCCTCTGGCTCCTGCGCGTCAGCGAAAGACTCGATCGCGGTGTCCAGCGCACCGGACTCGTCGCTCATGCTAGCGACAGGAGTCCTGCTGCCCACCGTCTCCGAGTTGAAACATCGCATCAGCCAGTCGTGCACGGCGCAATCTCGTATGACCTCTGGCGAGCCGTCCTGGGGAGCAGAATCAGCACACACACACACACACACGCGCGCACACACACACACTCACGCATCCTGCAACGCTCCTTTCTTTATCCCCTGCGCTAAATAGACCCCAGAAGCCTGTGCTGATCCACTGTAAGCCCGACGCGTGCAAGGAAAATATGTGGACGATGCCCAACTGCAAATGCAAACCGACAGCGGCCGTTGGTGGGAACGGCGACAGCTTGTTTCAAACGGACGCGTCCGTTGATCTTCGTCCTATGCATTCTGCTCGTTTTGAGGGATAACGTTTTTGAAAGGGGGATCAACTCAGGAAGAAAACCTCGATCGGGGATCCGCGATACATCGCCGATAGATCGGCGTAGACCCTTGATTGCAAATGCGTAAGTTCCTGGGCGTGCGGGCGATCAGACCCGTATTTTTCGCTCCACATAAGTTGTTGGTGGTCATGGGGCCCGATAGCGGCCCCAGAAGGCTGAAATCGACAAAAACGCCCGGATCGACAAAAACACATCGTCGAATATATGGGGGCCAGGAGGAAATATCAACTGCAGAAACATGCGGCGCTGTAGGCGCCGTCAGGGGGCCCAGAGCAGATTCGAGAAATCCGCTCGGAGCTGCGAACGCTTAAATTTATTCCCCAACCAGTGCTGGCACTGAAGAGGTCCTAGCGGAAATTGGAAGGTTCGGCGAATTTCCCGCCGATTTTGGTGGCCGGCTGGGTGCCCGGGTTCCCGGTTCCGGGTTCCTGGGATTCTGGTCATTGGTTCCGGGCCGATTTCGGTGGGTGCCGCGTTCCCGGGTTCCCAATCGATCTCCTTCTCGATCTCTTACCGTCGGGGCGTTTTTTGTCGACACAATCAGGCAGGAACCATGAAATAAAGAGAGAATGGTAAAATTGAAATTCGATTGGGTGCTTCTCTGGTGGACTTCGATGCTTACTTCCTCGACCCAGGGCCCGACCACGATCCGACCCAGCGGACCCGTCGCGCTCGGGGAGCGCGGAGCTTGAGTGGGGACCGACATTCCCGGCATTCCTGTAGGTCAACCACGATATGTTCTTAGAACCACGAAATGTTCTTAGAAATCCGCGCGGAGCGCTAACAAATTATGTTGATGGCGTTTTCTCTTCTTCGCTCCTCTGAATAGAAATCCCCGCCAGAAACCTTGAGCACGGACCGACCGTCCCGGCAATTCCAGTAGGCCTGACACGAGATGTTCTCATAACCCAAACACGTTCTAAGAGCAAAAACACTGTTCTCAGAGCACGAGCCCGATGTGCTAACACAAGAAACTTCGAGCCAGAACTCTTCTGAGAACACCTCGTGAAGACTACAAAAGGTTCCTATAATTCTTAGCACATGTCTTGGTCGGCCTATAGACGGACTATAGTTAAGTCGGGGGTGTCCCCATACGGGGGGACCCTCGACGAAAAATTAAAAATACTCCAAAAATAATCCAAAAAGGTAAAACAAATACTCCCAAAATAGTCCCCAAACTATGTTTGGATTATTTGTTGATTATTGTTGGGGGTATTTTTCGCTTTTCGTCGAAAATACCCCTGGTAGGGGGACAGGCGCGGCTTAAGCCTATGGACGAGCTACAGGACGCCTCGCCGCTGCTCCAGGCGCACGCCCCTCGCCGAGCGAGCGGCGGCCGACGCCGACCGCCCCGAGATCCCCGCCGTCCAGCGGGCCGGCCCCCGATCGGCAGCCGGACCGAGCCGCCATCGCCGGCTCGGGGCCTCCGAGAAGACGATCGCGCCATCGCTGAAGGGGCCCCAGGACACACAAGTAAATACACACAAGTAAAAAGGTTCCCCATATTTTCGTATATTTTGGGGGTTTTCGTCTCCCGCCCCACTTCCCATAGTTTCCCATATTTTCTTGTGGATCGACGATGAATTGTGTCTGTGTGTTTTTTTTCCCCTCCTGGATCGCTCGGACGTCTTTGCCCCATGGGAGCGTTCTTGTTGTTATCGGGCGTTTCGACATTGGGGGAAGGGAGGGGGGGGGTCTGGCTCCGGACCTCTGCTGTTTGTGCGACCGTTTGCAGCAGTGCGGCCGCTGGGGGAGGGGGGACCCCACCTTCTCGAGACAGGCGCCAGAAAGCAGCCAAGATCTGCTCCATGAGGGGGGGGGGGGAGGGGGGTTTGGGGGGCCCGTGCCGATCGGCAGGAACTCATGTTTGTTGTTGGTTTCGTGCGCGTACGTTCTCGCAAGATTGACGGGGCCCTGACACACACACACACAAGCACACACACACACACACACACACACACACACACGCACACACACGCACACACGCACACACGCACACACAAACACACACACACAAATAAACACACACACACACACGCACAACTAACAGGATTCCCCATCTGTTCCAACATTTTCTGGGTGTTTGTCTTCCCCCTACTTCCCATATTTTCGCATATGTTCTGGGGAATCGACGATTCCATTGTGTCTGTGTTTTTTGTCCCCACTCCTGCAAGATGGCGCCAAAAGGCTCCTCTCAGTGGCCCTCGCGCCGAGGACCAAGAAAACACGTACAAGCCTGGGCGATGCCAAACAATGCTCTCGCCCGGCAGTTGCACCTCGATTGCGGCCCTCTGGGAGCACCCTCGAGCCCCACGATTTGGACGCCCGAAATGGGTACGGAAAGAAGG